AGGATCTTTTCATTTGTTGATATTATTCATCTCATTTTGTTTGGCCTTGTTTACTTTGAAGGGTAAAACAACTGTCAGTGAGAAGACCTAACTACCAATGTAACAAATGTTTCACAACGCTATCTATTGCAGATGCAAGTAACTGAGCCTGTACCTAAGTTACCTATGTAGTGGTGAACTCCGAGAGCAGGAAAAATTGAGCTATTGTGAAAAGTGGGAAAAGGCAAGCAGGTATTGTTTCTTTCATTTGTTTTCCAATTACTTTTGGCTTAGTCTAGCAACTATTCTGCCTTGCTTTGCGTAATGATCAGGAACATGATGCATTTTCCTCTGAAGTTGCACTCCTTTTTGCACAGGAAACTCGAACAGAGCTTGAGGCATATCCAAAAGCTTGAGTTAAAGACCAAATGTTCTGGGAAAAAGGTCTTGGGGGGATTTCTGTGGGTTCTTATTGCACTGAGCACTGTTTTGAACATTCTTGCTATTGTATGCTTTGTTCTGTGCCCTGAAAGGTCAACATAAGAATTTAGGAGGACATAGCAAGTCAAAGTAAAAACATTGTCAGTAGCCAACCTTTCTTGTTTTACTGCTCCCTTTGAATCCTTGCTTTAGTTAGTTAGAAGCAATAAAACATAACTAAATGTCCCTCTGTGAGGCAAGAACACTGGCTCTTTCAGTTATGCTGAAGGCTCTAATGGGAGCACAGTGGTAGCGGGGGAGGAAATGTTGAAAGAGCAAAGTCTTGGAGAGCAGTCTGCATCCAAGGGAATCTGACGCATTGACCTAAGTAATACTCGGGAGGATGGGGACTGGTGCAAGTTATACGGGGGTGACAGCCACACTCCTGGTTGAACTATAGAGATACGTAGTGACTGGATCTTTAAACTTGTTGTTACACTGCTAAAAGCTCATAGGGATGCTTTATCCTTTTAAACATCTTTCATGCCCTAAGGAAATGAGCTTCATAAGCCCCAAAGTCTAGTTGATGATGCTTAAATATTGCAAAACATTTAGCTGAGACATGTATTTACTTAGTAGAACCAGACAGGAAGTCATAACAAAGCTTAGTATTGAACTAAAAACTCTGGGTCTGGTTTTAGGACAATACTGTGTCTAAAGGCCAGCTCTAGTCTGGGTGCAGTTTCATGATCACTTTAGATATTGTAAAATGTAAGCAGAGGCTGCAGCCAAAAAGAATGGACTGATCCATCTCCAATGCCTGCATTCATGCCTCCTCCTTTGCATCGGCACTAGCATTCAATTTTTGAGTAATAGCTTTGATCGGGAAAGCAATCCACCTACAAGCAAATCCAGGTAAATACAAAAAGATGAGTATTTTGCTCTCCTCACAGCCTGACCAGAACTGGGGCCAGCACAAGGGGAAGGGCAGCAAGAAACACTTGCATGGAAGAGGTGCACAGCTGCCCTTTTGGCAGCAGCCAAAACTTGGTTGGTTTAAAGCAGTTGTGAACCAACAACCACTGTAGGAACATACTTGAGCTTTTGGATCACTTATGAAACGTTTACTTTGTTTTTCTTGTTACTTTTTGTACTTGGTACACTAGCAATCAATTGTCACCACTACTTTTTTTAATAAATGGGAATTAGATAGGTTCAAAATGGTCCTGGATGACAACTTTTGGCTCTGACCTTTCTATAAAAATTTATTTGCATAATTTTCAGCCAGACTCTTTGCTTCCCAAGAACATGCAAGCAACTGAAAAATGATGGGCATGAATCATTCTGGAAAATGAATTAATAGCATCATGAACATTACTAGAATTTGCAGATCTTTTTAGCAATGTTTACTCAAGCCTAGCTGTAATCCTGAAGTATAAAACTATCTTAACTGGAGCAACAGGATTGCTGTAGGAATTCCAAGGTGAAATTCTGTGGTTTGTATTGTACAAGAGGTCAAACAAATTTACCAGATGTACTTTTAGATCGGCAGAGATCATGAATCCCAACCACATGGATCCCACCTGAAGGCATGACCTGGCAGAACATCATGGTTCTGCCCTCAGATGAGGCTATATTTGTAGAGATGCAGAAAGGAAAATGTTTGTGAATTAAGGGAAATGTCTGTGAAGAGTTATTTAATGTTTCGATCCTGGGTTGGATGCTTTCAAGTAGAGGAATTCCTTCAGGAAGGAAATCCCTCAGCTTTTCAATACGTAATTATCTGAAGTATAAAGACAAAAGCATTGGCTTAAGAAGGAGAATGAAAAGTCAGCCTTTCTCAGTCTGTGAGTTTTTTCTGTTTTTCTTTTTTCTCTTTTTTTTAAAGCATTTTAAAATTGGAGTGATTTTTGTTTCGCTGTTATTTAGGATCTTGGATGTACATCTTAATATCTCGTTCATTTGGGGAAATACTAGGCAATAACGGGGTTATCTTGAAGGTTAAACTTGATTTACTTGTTAGGTCAAAATTAGGCATAATTTTAATTTTTAATCAAGTCATTGGAATTACAATAGGCTAAAACTGGTGAAAAAATAAGTTTAAAGGAAAATTGAAATTCATATGCAATCTATTAAAACCTGCACCTGCACTGAATCTGCTTTCAGTAAAGGACTATTGGATTGATAAGTGTAATATATGATGATAAAGTTGATGGAGTTTATTTTGCAAATCTTTCAAGCCATTATATCATGTTTAGAATGTATGAAACTGTTAATTATATTGAACTAATAGGTTTTTCAGTTTTCCAGCAGTGACCTTGCAAGTGGCTCACATGTGATTGGTGAGCTTTAAAAGCACGACTTGTTTTGTTAAAAAAAAAAAAAAAAAGTAAAGAAAAAGAAAGAAAGAAAAAAGAAAAAAACCTCCCAGATCTTCCAGAAGGTTAATTATTAACCAGCATTTACTTCTTGTTTTACCCTTCCCTCCCCCCCATCCTTCACTATTCATTCCCTCCTCTTCTAAACTTCAGATTGCTCTTTCTGTCCAAGGAGGTAGAAAGGTGGAAAACGTATCCACCTGATGACAAAGTGAGGCAAATTTTGTGGCAAGAACAGAATGAGTTCTTTTTTGTCTTGCAATCTGGCATCCTTGGTGTTTCACTGAAGTTAACCAAACTGCAACCTCCATTCCCTCTTTCCTGTTCCCCACCCCCCAAAAAGACAAAAAAACAAACAAACAAAAAAGCAGCAACTCTGAAAGATTCTGATGATGATCTATATTCTTTATCTTCTCCTAGTCTTAAACTTATGTATGTTTGTTTGGCTTTGTAATAAACTGCTGCTTGAGGAAGAAGCATCTGCATACAATCACGTACCTTCAGCCACACTGTGGAGAATGAAATGTCTGTAATCAAATGCATGGTAAAAGAGGAGGCAGGTCAGACTGCCTAGCATTGATTAGTGCCACTATGTTGGGACTAGGGACTGGCTTAACATGTTAAAAATGTGAAGCAGGTCTAGATTTCAAGCATACAGTCATTTTGGACACTTTGTGATTTAATGGCTTTGGTCTGTGTTATTACAATGATACAGGTTGTTAACAGGATAATACAAAGCCAGCTCTGTGTTGGGATTTGGAACACATGTGGATAGAGATCAGCTCCCAAGATTTGATCTTTGCCTTTCTTTGAGGAACGATGCTGGTAGAGCCGCTTGCCAAAGCTGCAAGTTTTAGGAGCAATAGCAGCTGTCTGGTGGGGAAAGAAGATAAGGTCATCCATGCCTCTGAAGCCATTATCTTTATTTATGGTGTAGAGAAGGAAAAAGATAAATAGGTAGCAAAGGAAGATAACAAAGAACAGCTAGAAGAGAAAGCCTATGCTCCTCTTTTGTCATCCTAGACAGGGACAGGTTGTACAGAACATGCTATTCTGTGCTCTTTCTCTCCGACTGCTTTGGCTGCTGCACAGTAAGTGTTGCCTCCCTGTCGTAAACTTGAAATGAGCCGATTGTTTCTCTGTTTGCCAGCAGGCCAGAAGTTTCTATTTCTCATCGGAAATGTGACAGGTACTATTTGCACAATGTCCCTCATAACTGCTGAGGTTGTTTACCCTTGTTTTTATATTAGCCTGTTGGATGGCATCACTCCAAGGGATGTCACTGTGGTGGATGATCAGAGAACTCTACAGGATGTGGAACTGTCTGGGGGGCATTATTTTGTCCCTGCAAAATACAGAGGAATTGCTGAAAGACAGCAGTCTTCAGAGGTTTTAATTACAGGTGCCCTTAACTGTATGGAATGATAGTAGTGATGCAGGTTTCAGAAGTTGCAGAATTGGGGATCTCCACAGGACCAGTAAGAAAACTGCAGTTTTAAGAAGTTTTATGTATTTACAATAGAAGACAGCAACTCAAAGTTTCTGGGACAGGGTTTGTATTCAGCTGTTTGCTATGAAATTGTATATTCAGAGTAAGAGCTGATGGTTGTTATCCTCCAACTGGCAGAAGAAAAGAAGAACAAAACTCGACAATTGAATAATATATGTAAATAATTGTTGGGCTGTTAACTGGTGGTGGATCGGGGATATTGTGAAATCCTTGACCAAATAATAGAGCATATTCAATAAATTGGGGCTAATGGGTCAGGTTATAAGATGGTTTTCTTTGGGAGCCTGAGCAGAATTAAACCCCATAAATCTACCCCTTTGTGTTGATAACCATAAAAAGAAAGACTGATTCATTACTGTTGTAACTTGTTTTAAAGCGTTTTGCTTGTTGGCATTTAAAAAAATGTAATTTTTCTCTAAGCTATGTCTATGAAGATGTTCAAAACTTAAACCCATATTGATATGCATGTATTATTTACACCGTGTCCTGTTGTCTTAAAACTTTGCTGCATTTCGAAGTAGAAAATATTTCTTGTGGAATTGTCTAAGATGGGAATATTGAATTATTTTTTACAACGACAAGGGAAGCTGAGGTTCTCACCCAGTTAAATTAAGGGAAACTAAATCTGTTTTTCTCTGTCTTCTGTAAAAATTCCTTTGTTCCTGGGTATAAATATCACTTTCCCTTTCTGGTGTAAATCAGACTTGTGGCTTCTGTCATCGAGAGTTAATTTTGTTAATCCTATTGGTGATTTTAATGTCTAACTTGGTGCTTCTATATTTCATATGGATTTAAGATAGTTTGGATGATATTTTGGTTCTGTTTGCTGCTTTGTTCAATTGTTTTGAAGTCAGACAATAGTTGCTGCAACCAATGAGACAAAAGTTTTCAGTGGTGAATTTGCAGGGTAATGCAATCATGCTATTTTGTCAAATCTCTTAATGTAGCTGCTGTTTATTATCTCCTTATTTAGGGCTCAGATAGCCTTCTAGGAGCCTTGCACTTAAATTGCTGTTAAAAATGGGACTTAGTTGTCAAGGTAAGTTCAAACTGGCTCTGCTGAATGCAGCAATACTGAAATATTTTTTAAAAGCTGAGCCATGTCCTCCTAAGTCACTTTTCAATAATGGGATATAACTTCTGCTCCTTTGGGAAAAAAAAAAAAAAGACTATTTGACACAGAGAGCTATCTTTGTCTTGTACAACACAGAGCACATTGTCAACAAAATGATCTTCTTTCGGTATGTTTCTCAGGTCTGTGAAACTGGCTAAATATAAAGTATGCCGGCAATATAAGATATTGCTACTTCAAGAGCTGTAGAAATCATAGGGGCACAATGGAATTGATTTTCTGTTCGTGTGTTCTGCTTCTGTGTGCAGATCGGCCTGGGTTAAGTGTTCGCTGGCAAAGCAGGTAACTTCTGCTTCTGCCATTTGGCTTCCATAAACTAATTTCTTGAGAGACTAGCTAGCATGTTACAGCAAAGACTTCAGTAATGGCTTATAAAAGAATTACGCTTGGTTAAATTTACAAGACTTATTTGTACTGGTAAGTGCTTTATGGATGGTTTAATGAGTAACCTCTACTTCAATTAGTCAATTGCTGTTCTCCTGCAGTGTAATCTATGGGCTGCTTTTTTCCTATAAAAGCTCTTCTTGTTTTCACTCGGTCACGTAGCACCCAAGATGTGCGTTGCCCCTAGTAAGCTGCTGTTCCTCCTGACGGGAATAGTTTGTATTACAGAGTTTCTTGCCACACCATCCCCTCTTCAGAAAGGTAGGATCAAAATTTCATATCTAGCTTTGACAGTTTTCTAAATGCTCAAGTTTTTGTTCATAGGCAGAGACAAACACGGGAGCCAGTGCTGAAATGAAGAACCTGCACTAGTTTCGACCCCTGGGAATTTGACCCGGAGGGCTTGTAGACCTAAATACAAGGCAGCATTAAAATAATTTATCTGGTTTTTAATTCTTTGCTTTTGTTCCAGGTGTGTAATTGAGAGTTATCTTTTAATGACAAATGCTTATGAAACTTCTATCTGATTCCTTGCTGATACAAAATAAACAAAATTACATAAACATAATTCATAGTTACATAAATAAAATTAAATTCTACCTGATTTGCAGTAAGTTAATTAAGATCCTGTTTTGTATTTTGCCCGTGGACTACAAACAAAATGCAGCAAGTCCTGCAAGAGTACACTGTCTTATATTTTAAAATGCAGAATATTATTTTTTTTGGCCCAATTAGTGATGCCAGTTCTTCCTGTTTCCTCCATGAAGATTTATTGGTTTAAGGCAAACTGGAATGGAATCCAAATCTTGACTGTATGTATGACCTTTTTTCTCCATTTTAAATTTGCACTAGTAGAATCTGAAATTTAAAATGATTTGCAGAATTTAGAAAATAAAACTGGTTTTCAATGTGAAAATTCCACTTTGGCTATCAAAAGAAGTCCGGTATCTAAAGCATTTTAATGAGTTGCATTTTTAAGCACTCCAAAGTGTGGTATTCTATCGAATGGTATTCTTTTGCTTCACTGTTTTGCCATGCAGATGGATGTGATGCAGTTTATATACAAATCTCTCATCCAACCAGTGAGTTAGACTGGTCTGAAGTAGTCTATAAACTAGTCTGGAATCCTTTGGCATTACAGATGCATGGCACAAAAGATTTACTTGTTATTTTTTAAGTTAATCTTCTTGTTGCTCATGTTTGTGTGTTGAGAGAATAGACTTATTCAATATTTAAAGAAAAACAGAATATTTTAGGTTGTGAATCTAATGGGTTTTTTTTTCCTCCCCATTCTCAAATCCAGTGCCTAAATTCCTTTTGGTAAGAGCCAAATCCCACTTTTTTCTTATTTTGTCTATGTCCTCTTTCACCTCTCCTTGCCGTATCTTTGCAAATGGTGAAAAAGATGGGGGCACTGACAATTAGGAAAAAAAAAATCACATGAATTCTGTCTCAAGATTTTTATTTAAAAACTAGGGTAAGTAGTATTGTATCAGCACTTATATCAGTCATGCTAATCCTGAGGATGATTGCAAAGCCCTGTTTATAGGTGCTATAAATTACATTTTAGGGCTTGGATGATTCCACATTTCCCAGACAATGTACGCTAGTGCTGGTCCATCATCCCTTGCGTGCAGCTGCCAGTGTCCCAGAACAGTGACTAAATGTCCCATACTTACAGATGCTAAATCTTGCCTAATTTAGTGTTTGTCAGAATTTGTAGTAAAATATTTGTATTATTATAGTATATTAGATATTTGTCTGACTTCATTGAGTTTTCACACAGCTTTAAGAAAAAAGCGTGGCCTATCTGTTGTGTTTGGGAAGTGCAATATAAAAAATTCCTCTGTTGCAATGGGCTACTTGGCAGAAGCGGTTGCTTTGCGTCTGTCTTTTCTTAAAATACTACCGAATCAGCAATTAACACCTCAAATATATTTCTATAAATTTACTCCTTTTACAAATACATAAATATTATCATCTTCAAATAGCCATAATAGATGATGATAATAAGATTGAGTTAAATTGCTCTAGATAAATACAGCCAGTATTGTTGATCATCAAGATCTGTATAATGTGCTTTTGGATCCCACTTTTTCAAAATATTTAAAGTATAAATACTTGTTGTAAAGAGGAGTTCTGATTTTTTGAAAGTGGTAATGAAACAATGATTTAGGCACAAAATGATTCCAAAACCTGGATGAAAGAGAATGTTAAGACTCAAGTTTTGGTAAATATGGATTTTAAAAGAACATTTTAATAAGAAGAAGGCAAAATTTAATGTCAATTGTACAATTGAACCAAAAAGTATCCATATGGAGAAAGGTAATACAAAGTACATTGCTCTTTTCTTAACCCAGTATAGACTTACCTTATATAAATTGCCCAGGCTACTATAAAATGTGGCTCCTGTAATGGCAGAGGGACTGCACTGACCTCTGCCCCAGGACATGTGTTCCAATTCTATGTTCCTACAAAGTAGAAAACTGAAATCCAGAATAAATCTCTTTCTTTTTCCCTTTTACTTCTCAGATCCCAAGTGTGGGCAGAAATTTCATGAGACGAAACTGCGGAGTTACTTTAACCTTTTTACTCGCATTGTTGGGGGAAACCAGGTGAAACGAGGCTCACATCCATGGCAGGTTTGCACAAGCAAATGTGGTTTTATCTTCAGACAAAGCCCTGACTTTTCATAAAAATAACAAAAGGAAAAAGCAGGTGTACTTTGTGCTTGCTGACACTTTTTATATATTGTTGAGCTCCATCCTGCTTTTATCAAAAGCAGTGAGGCAAACATAGAGGGCATCGACCTTTTCCACCCACTGAGAAAACCTTTATGTTTATCATGATTTCTGAAAGAGCATCTGTAGATTAGCCTGTTGTAAAAAGGCAGGTGTGAACCTATTCAGAAAAGACACCACCACCCCCCCGCCCCGGACACCACCACCCCAGACCATTGTCAAGCATCATGAGTTTGCAGTTTGGAAGATAGGACACTGCATGGTGCTCAGTGCTTTAAGGTTACAAACGAATTGGATCATGGCTACAGCGTAGATATCGGGGACTCTCACCTGCTCTGCAGTGCTCCCAGTAACCTGCAAAGGAGAAATTCTGAATGAACTAGTAACCTTTCCAGTCTGCTGAGTACCTCAGTAACTTGGCGTTTATTGCACGTATGTTGCTTTTATCTATGCCCCAAGTCACAGCCGAGGGGAATAGCAAGAGTTTGGGACCTCTTAGACTCAGGAACTGTAAGAATGCCACAGGAGTGTATTTTCTTGAAGTGCAGCATGAACTTTAACCATGTGAATCCTGTAAGAGTGCATGCGTGTGCTCTCTTCTTCCTTCCTCAAATGCAATCAAGGCAGATACAAAGATTTTCTCTATCTGACATGCCTTCTTTATGATGCAGGTTTCCTTGAAACGAAGGCAAAAGCATTTCTGTGGAGGCACCATTGTTTCTGCTCAGTGGGTGGTCACGGCAGCTCACTGCATCTTGGACAGGTATGGAGGTGTATTTCAGGAGCAGGCTGAAGGTGCAGGAAAAGCATGTTGACTGTAAAAGTGTATGTGTTATAGCATCCTTTTTGTGGGAGGTTACTTAGAGGTGCTACTCTTGTTTTTAACCAGCATTTTCTATGTTTTAACAGAAGGGGAGGGAAAAAAAAAAACCTTTAAGTATTTCAAAAGTGACAAAGAGTAGCAAGGTGGGATGGAGACTCATTTTTTGAGAATAGGTAAAAATTCTTTGCCCAGTTATAGTTACCAGGTGATTGCAATATTTCTTTCAGAGGCAGCAACTTGTAACATGTATACAATTAAATGGTGCAAGGGTATAGTGCCGACCTCTTGCGTTATTTTCAGCATTAGTGCTAAAAGAAAACAAATAGAACTGTGAATATTGTAGTCAATGTTTTAGTCCTGATTCTGTCATGGCTTCACTAAGATTCCAATTCCATTATAGTTAATACTGAATCTTTATACTAATGCAACTGAAATTATAAATTCCAGTCATTGTTGTTGTCCAGTTGTTGGAATTATAATTTCCAAACTGTACCTGGAATTATAAAGTAAATCTGTATAAGGCATGGTATGTGATCACAGCTTGGTCAAATTAGCTGATACATACAGAGTTTATATTAACTACAGGAGGAGAGGCAATACCTAAATCAGCATAAAGCCCTTGGCACAAAAGTAATTAATCAAATTTGGTGAATAAATTTGAAGCAGAAGAGCAAATTGACATTGATTGCTTTTGTGTTCCATGACTGCACATTTTGATCTGTACTAAAAGCCCTAAAGCAGGATTCACTATGTTTTTTAAGGCATAAATTGAGAATACTGAAGAAGTGGCATCTTTTTTTCTGTACTTCACTGCTTCCAAATCCTCCCTCCTCCATTCAAAAAGCAGTATGACTGAATATTTTTAAGCATGCGAATAGGAGCGGTTTCCTCAGTAGACCACTAGACCACTGTCAAGAGTATATCTAAATTATATTTCTTCTCAGTTGTTTTCATCTCTCAATTTCTGTGGTAGGGGGCATAGTCAGCTTGTGCTGACTGTACACATTAAATGCTTCTGTTTAAAAACAACTATATTTTTTTCCTTTCATTTTGAAGATTCTATAGTTGAACCTTTTTTTTTTTCATTCTACAGGAATCTACTCCAGTATTTGAACGTCACTGCAGGAGAGCATGATTTGAGGATCAGGGAGAATGGAGAGCAGACACTCCCTGTTAAATATATCATTAAGCATCCAAATTTTGACCCCAGAAAACCAATGAATTATGATGTTGCCCTTCTGAAGATGGATGGAGCCTTCAACTTTAGTAAGGCCATAGTTAACCTGTGATCTTTTTCAATGAAGAAGGTAAAGCCTCCCTTTCTCCCAGAAGCCATGAAATGTCTTGACCCTGAGTTTAGACCCAATTCCCAGTTACCAGTTTATATAATTAAAATCTCCAGAGTAGTTTGCAACTGGAGTATTTTAAAATAGTGGAGGTAAATCAGAAAGATGTATCAGTTGAATTAAATCATCTTGTTCAGACTTAATGCTCCCTTGAATAAAAAAGATATTGTTCTTTGTATGTTGGAGATTAATGTTTGACCAAATAGTGGTGTGGAGTGTTTCCTCAGTTTTTTGTTGTTAATCTAGAGGTGTAGGTGAGATTTCTGCCTCAGGAGGACAGTAGAGCTAGTCAAAGGCAGACCAGAGCTCAGAGCATACCACAGCGCTCCCTACCTTTGTCTTATTCACATCCACTCTGGTGTTCTCCCTTTCTCCCCCCCTCCTCTCCCCCCCCGCAGATTACATAGGATTATCTTTAGTAGTGGCCGAACAATCCATGTGGAGGCTCTAAGGACAGAGGAAGATGATGGAAGGAGAGCCATTATTTCTCTGTTTCCTATACTATTGCCCAGCTATTTCTCAGCTGCGGAGTAGCTTTGCCTTACAGGCAGTTTTTCTGGAGTGCTACGTCTCATCAGGTTTACATGATATTGTGGTGCAGAGGAGAGTCTACCCTATTAAAATAACACTTTACTCTCCTGTAGATTCAAGTTCACGTCACTAGAATGCTGAGGCATGTGGTTTTCTTTTCCAATACACTATGAAGTGGCGGCAGAGAAAAATTGTCAAAGGCTAGACTAATTCTTCGGATGCTACATAAATGGCAATATTCTTTAGCTGTAAAGAACTGGCTGAGAAATGAAGCTTTTTTCTTTCAAATATTTATCAAGAAACTCGATGTCTATCTGTCACAGGTGCATCAGTTTTGCCAGCATGTCTTCCTGATCCAGGTGAAAAGTTTGAAGCAGGATATATCTGCACTGCTTGTGGTTGGGGCCGTTTAAATGAGAGTAAGCTATTGGAGTCATTCTTAGACAATCAGGTTTACCACTGTCTGCAACAATCTTTATTTCCTTATTTCTTCCTCCTCTTGCAATGGAAAATGATTTCTATAGCATCACCATGTCTACACAGCAGCTCAGTGAAAGTTTTCTTACCCGTTTTTTTTTATTCAGTTTTAGATGTTTTCTTGAAAAATGCTCTAATGTGCATTGTGTCAGCTTATTTCTGAGGCTAAAAGCTTAAATGAGGATCAGGGAGAATGGAGAGCAGACACTCGCTGTTAAATATGGTCCTGGCCATGGACCAGAAGAAGCCATCAGCTGGGCATAAGAATTGTTGATGTGCCTACATGTGAATTACTTCAAAATAGGTCACTATAATATATGGACCTGTATTTAACATTGGAGACTCTTTTAAATTTACTCAAGTAAAACTGCTTATGTTCAAAAGTACACATAACTGGCTGTATATCAAAACATGTTTGTGACCATTACAAGGTCCTGGAGCAAGCTTGCAGGTCATATCTTTTTGTATACTAGTAGTGACATTAATTTCACCTTTCAGCATTTCTTTTGAGCAAATCTTTTTTTGTGTTTCAGATGGACTGCTCCCTCAGGTATTATATGAGGTCCATCTACCAATCCTAAACAGTAAAGAGTGTTCAAGAGCGTTGTCAACTTTAAAGAAACCCATCCAAGGTGACACTATAATGTGTGCTGGATTTCCAGATGGAGGAAAAGATGCCTGCCAGGTCAGCTGAACAGAGGGCCTTTCGTATGTACAAGTGTTTCTCAGAAGCTCAGGATGCTATGTGCCTGAGTGAATAGATGCATTGTAAATTACAGTATTTGGAATGTATTCATTTCGTGTGTGAATTCTTTAAGAAGGTTTGTATGGGGGAATCCACTTATTAGACCATCCCATTTTACTTATTTCATGAGTTGTATGACCGGTTTCTGAGAGTAATTGCGATTTGAAGACTGTCTTTTGCAGTGTATCACAGTACAATAATATATATGGCTTTCTAACTTCAGAGTACTTGATAAATGTGAATATTGCTAATGTTCTAAGAAGGAAGTACTGTCTTGGATTACAAGAAAGAAAAGAAGTGAGATGAAAGTGAAGTGATATTTCTTCATGCATGAAGCAAAGCAAAACAAAACAGGAAAAAAACTTCTTGCTCCTTCTTTCGTACTGAAACATAGCAGATGTGCACTTCTGAGGCAATTAATCTGGGTCTCCCCTTTTAACAATCCTGACTATGCAATCGAAAAGAGAAAAGGTCTTTCTTCACTGTGCTTTGTTTTGTTTTTATGACTATTCCCTAATTTGGTAGGTTTGATTATATGATCCAAAAGATAGCTCGATTAAAATCTTTGAGACTTGTTTAGTGTTATAGACGTGCTTTTGAGAGTGACATGTGGGTTCTGGGTTTTTGCTTGTTTTGTACAGGGAGACTCTGGGGGCCCTCTTCTGTGCCGAAGTAGGCATGGTGCCTGGACTCTAGCTGGTGTGATCTCATGGGGCATGGGATGTGCTCGTGGCTGGATAAGTAACGAGAAGAAACAACATTACAGAAGAGGATCTCCAGGAATATTTACAGACCTAAGTGCAGTGCTCTCCTGGATTCAAGAAAATATGAGTACTGGTAATAAGTCTCCACAATAATTTGTCTAGCGTTTGTGACAACTCTTCTGTCTCGTAATAGTATCTAATTTAATTTTATGTTCTTCAAGGCTTGTACTTACATTTTTTCCCATATTTCCTGGCAAAGTATTATAGCTTCTCACAATGCTTTTAAGTATATGGTACTGGCTGATAATTGTCAAAAACAAACTGAGTATTTTAAATGCTGGCTTCTGTTATGCTTTGTCTTCTATCTGGACTGTATATATTAAAAAAAAAAAAAAATTAAGGATGGAGTCCTTTTATCCAGCTAGCCTGGAGATTTTGTTTTTAAATGGAGATTTCACCAGTTGAAAGTGTCTGGAAATCTGTACACACCACTTTGAAATCATTTGTTATTTTTCTCAGCTAAAATGTGTTGGATCAGACATTTAACTAGGGAGGGAAAAGTCATGCTCTCATAAGTGTTTTCGCTCGCTCTGCCCTGAGGCTTACATACTGCGTATGCAGAGGAACAGCATGAAGATTCTCCATAACTTCCATAGTTGTAGAGTTGGAGATATGAATGGTCATCTGCTCAGGGACGAATTTCACTTGGAGTGTTAAATATTAATTTAGCCCAAACTGGAAGAAAATACTATTTTCTTTAAAATATATTGCATTAAAACTTATGCAGAGAATTGGAAAACTGAGGAGAGATGTTTAGGAGATTTGGCTAGTCAATAATAAGAGAAAAGTTTGGAGGAAAAATAACAAAACTTCCCATTAAAAAACAGCTTGTGACTGAGAAAAGAAACCCTCAAAATGTCAGACAAAAAAAGGCTCTAGCTTCTGAAAGGTATTTTGTTTTTTAGTTAAAAAAAAAAAAAGTGAAAGGCAGGGGGTGGTTTTGTTGAGAATTTCCAAGGAAGGCCCGCTTTCTTTCCGTGGAAAAAATAATGTGATTAGCTATTGTGTTTATTTTGTTTAAAGACTATTGGCCCCAATGAACAGAAAAAAGGTTTGATAAGTAAAGTCAGGACACATTTCTTAATTCATTGCACTAGGTTTCACCTGCCCACTCTCTTATACTGTCACACTGGTGCAAAAGATCTTGACTGTAATCTTACCATCAGACTCAATGTCTCTGTGTCCCTGATCGGATGCTAGCAGTTGGTTTCTGCCACCCTTACCTGAAATGTAGTGTTTACTTAGCAAGTATGCAGAGAGTATGGCGCTACTCACACTGAGCAGCGGCCTAGCAATGTGTGATTAATTCCAGCAGTGGCTACTCTAGAGCTGCATATTCCGAAGTCAGCATTGTCTGAACTTGCTGTTTTGCTTTAAATGCAAGCCTAGTTTATTGTGGACACAATGTGCCCAAAAAACATTCAAATTTGTTGCAGTGCTAGCTGTATAAAATTGCCATTTCACACTGATTAAAAATAAAGCCTACCTTGTGAAAACAAAACCAAAGTAATATATTCTTCTTTTCTACCCCTTTCCCTATCCCACCTATATTAGATCTGAAAATGAAAAGTTCCACAGGTAAGTACAGTATTTTTTTTAAGCATTGACATGTATTAGAGCTTTAGTAATAATTTAGAAAACAAACTCTGTTATATAATTTATGAAGGGAGAAACATTTATAGCATAATTCATCAAAGCACATTAAATGTATATTTTAAATACACGTTTTCTTTTCTCCTGGTTCAATAAAAAATTAGGTATGTAGTTATGTACTTGTGTCCTGGTGACTCCAAAAAGGAATTTCCCTTAAGACAGCTGCATATAAAAACCAATATTTTTATTGAAATGAAAATAGAATTAATGGGAAAAGTGTAGCATAGAACCTCAAGCTGCCCATGAGAACCACATAACGTAACTGATTCTGTATAGAAATGTAAGTTCCAGCAGAAAGTACGAGGCAAATTGATAGTCTTTTTTGTAGTTTGTGATTAATGTATCTACTTGTGTCTGGTGTCTATTCATTTCTGTGATTAAAATGGAAAAAAAAATGTAACATTCTAAAATTGAAAAGTGTTGCTTTGATTCTGCCACATTTTATGTTCATGTTGGGTGTTTGGTTCGACTAGGTACAACTTCACCTAAGGATAATAGGTGTCAACTTGTGTGAACTGGATCTTAAAATTCTGGTTTTAGCAATCTAGAATGAGATATCTGAAATGACAAATAATCTTGGGCATATGGTCAATTTATATTGACTTGATATGGTCAATGAGAATTGGGTCTTTAAGTTTTGTGGGTGTCTTTTTGAAACTTTTTTCTGGTCTTCCTAAGATTCTTTAGGTAAGATAATCATGTAAGTACATGACTCCTTAATTTTTTCATATGTGTAGTTGTTAAATGTATTACTGGCTTACCCTGGTGAGGAAAAGGAAAGGCAAGAGAAGGTAATTTTTGTAAGTGATAGTATTATCTAGTAACATTTATCTGGAGAGAAAAGCTTCTGCTGCTTCTTTTAAAGTGTTTTCAATACCATATTGGGCTGTCACAAAAGTCTCCTGCTCTAACACAGCTAAGAATATTGTTATATATGGGCTGCAATGAACACTTCTGTAGTATGCATTTTTGCTCTCTGAAAAATATTTGTACCAAACTCTTCATTTGGCAAATTGTTTCTTTAAGGTTTAAAAAAAAAAAAAAAAAGGCACTGCCATTTTCACAGTAAAACATGGTAGGGCACTCACAGGGCTTGTTTTTTGCCTGCAAAATTCTGTTTTTAAAATGACTTAATCATAATTCCAAAAAAGAAGAGAAGAGAGGGAAGACCCAGCATGAGTGATTCAGAGATCATGAAACAAGATGCAGCTGAGCAATCTTGGGTCTCACTCTTTTCTAGATGTTTGATCTTTTTGGTGTAACAGATGATTGCATATGTGTCAAACTTAGTATCTGCTATTTCATTTTAACTCCACAATGCAGCATTTTGTAGCACTCAGGATGGCAAACTCCCCAACAGTGAAGGAGAATTACATTTTCCTGGAAATCCCAAGCATTTCTATCAAAACCACCAGTAAGTAGACAAAATGCAGTCTCTCCCAGAAACAATTAATGAAAACTGTGTAGCTGTTTTTTGTTGCAGTTTTGTGAACAAGAACTGATCTGTCTTTCCAGGTTGTGTGTATGGACTCTGTTTGTACCAGAAGGGAATTATATATTGCTTCGTTTTTCCCACTTTGATATAGAAGCAGAAACATTTTGTGACTATGATTCTTTATCAATCTATTCTAAAGATGACAGGCTTGTTGGTGAGTTGCTGTTCCCCAATTCTGTGAAATGATCTGTCAGTGTATTCTTTCAATATGATAGCTGCTAAACCCAGTGAGGACACTGCAGTTGATCATGTTTTACCCTCGTTTTCATCTTGAAGGTATTGTAGCATATGATCTATAATAAGAGATAAGAGGATGGGAGAAAAAAAGTGGAAAAATGCCTAGTAGGGAACTTTGTCAGCACATGACTTGCTGGTGTCAAGGATTTTAAATTTTTAATACTACCCATTTTAGTTTGGCTGATGGATGAATAAAGAATATAGAGGAAAGGATAGGCAATTTCTTTTTCATTCTTGAATTTTTATAACCAAGTACTGGGTCTGAAGCTTTAAAAAAAATAGTACTTATAAGTTTTCTTAGATGACTAAAGACTCTAAACAGCAGTTATTCTCTAATAATATATTTAAGGGAAATTCTGTGGAGGAGATCTTCCATTACCTATTTTGGTTGGCTCCGATAGTGTAAGGCTGAAATTTGTGTCTGACAACAAGGATTATGGAACTGGGTTTTCCATGACCTACAGAGCTCTTGCACCAGATATTCTTCCTGGTAAGTCTAAGTAATATACCTATCTGCCTTACTGTGCTCTTGGGCGGTGGCCTGAGAAAAATTTTCATGAGCAAATGAATGAAAGGCAGCTCCCACGCTTTTTCTAAATGGATGATGTAATGAACAAGATAAGCGTGTTTAGGCTGCCAGGTGACATTGTGAAGAAACTGGGATACCAGAGAAAGTTAGGATAGATGCTGTTGAGAAAAGCTCTCCTGTACCTTCACAGAATCACGGAATCGTTTAGGTTGGAAGGGACCTCTGGAGATCATCTAGTCCAACCTCCCTGCTCAAGCAGGGACCTCTAGAGCATATTTCCCAGGATCACATCCAGACGGGTTTTGAATATTGAATATGAACACTGAATATTGAACACTGAATATGAAATTCAGTGTTGTTCTCTGCCTGCTGTATACAAGATCACATCTCCTTCCCTATTTCCAAAATATTTTAGAACTTTATTAATAAAATCAGTCAAGTGAGCAGAATTTCCAGATGAAAGCTGCTTTGCTAGGCCCGAGCTTGCTTTCCTGTAAGGGTGCCTGAGGGAGGCAGCTAATGCTGAAGTATGTGTTGTGGAGCATTGCTTTCAGTTTTGCTGTGCAAATGAGTGAGCTCTGCCATCACTAGGGAACAGGCCCAAGGGCCATCTGCTGAGCCTGGTCAATCCGCTTAAAGAGAGACCTGATGTTTCTGTTTCTCTAGGTTTTGCAGCTCATTTTTTTCCCTTGTCAGAGTGTGTAGGGCAGTGTGTAGGGCAGAGCCCGCCTTGAGGCACCTCGCCACTGCATAATACATCAGGAAGACGCGTTCTCTGGCTCTGGCTGTGTTTGGTATCACCACTTTCATCTCCAAAGAGAGAGAGCACATGAGCAAGTTAGAAGAAAATGCCTTGCTCTTATCTGGCCCCGCACAGGTACCTGTGGCTACAATGTGCTGTCTGCAGCAAAGGGGAAATGCTACAGCTGTGGGTAAAATCTCTCTTCTGCCAGGAAGCAGAGGTGAAAATTTTTCTTTGGGTGTTTTTCAGGCAGAAGGATTTGGCTTGCTGTTCTTTTTCTGTTCTTTCTCACCTTTGTGAAAGCACCGCAATATTTTTTTTCTAGGTTTTAATTCTTTGTGAATGATTTAATAGGAAAACATTGTGTCTCCATTTTTGTCTGCCTTTGGATTTCCAGATTCTGGCTGTGAGTCTTTAGCTGTCCTTTTTGAAGAGGGAGTGCTACAAAGTATGCACTATCCAGAGCAGTACAGCAACCTGGCAAACTGTCAATGGGTTGTCTGTGCACCAGAGGACCATGTCATCAAGGTATATTACAAGCCCTTCTTGTATCTACAGAATGGAAGGGGGTACTGTTTAGTTAACAGCAAGCAAATTGTGCAGCTAAGGAAAACAAGATCTAGCAACATAACCTTGAACAGTGCTGCTGGATGCAGTTAGGAGAAATTGCTCTTCACCCTAAAAGCCAAATGGGTATTCTCCTTTAGATTATAGTAAAATAGGATTTCTCAGTTTAAGTTTTATCATTACAAATTCTTCTGGCAAATGTAATGTGCTGCGTATCACCTGTGAGAGGTCTGAATGACACAGAAACCAGATTCTAAAGGAATCATTGAGAATACTAAAGACCTGTTGATAAGTCTTTTTTGAATTTCTCTTCGCAAGTTTTACAACCAGATTTTTTTTTTTTTTAAGCTTACATATCATTCTTTTGAAGTAGAAGAGAATGAAGATTGCTCTTACGATGCTGTGATTGTGTATGAAGATGTAGGAAAAGAGGAGGAAATTGGTTTGGCTTTTGATTTTCAATCTGATATGCTGATTCGAGGATGATCTGTTACTCTTAAACTTCTACTAGCCCTATTTTCCAGTGTAAAATCAAGTAGAGTGATTTCCAACTAGAATCTCAGGTGATGTTATGGGTACTAGTCCAAGTACCTTGAAAAATATTTGCATGCACTGCTTCTTCTGTTCCATGTACTGAAGAAAATACACATCTAACAGAACAGTTTTGTGTACTTAAACTCTATCTTAAATGCAGTTCTAAATTCATGTAAATTAAAAAAGGGTGTAATACAATAACAGGCTTTTGTAGTGACAGTGCTAATCAGATCAGGCACAGAAAATACGCAGATGGTCTCATTTTCAGAGTCCAGTTCTTCACTGCAGATAAGCCCTGATGTGATTCTTACCACCTTACTGGATTTTCCCCTAGCTTATATTAAAGGAAAGAAAGACCTGTCCCAATCAACTGTGGAGCTGATGCTAGTGCCTAAACACTAACAAGGCAATCAAATGTCCACTGTATTCCATACAAAATTGCAACCTATGAGCATGAGTTCTGCAGTGGTCTCTTGTGAAATAATGCAAGAGTCTCCTTGCTTTCTGAGGTAATTACTGAGCAAGGACAGACGAACAGAAAGAACAGAAACGATCCTTTAGGCCCGGTCTTTTTATCTGCTCCTCTGTTATGCATAGTTATTTTTTTACTCTTCTATGTGACACCTAGAATATGCTAAATATTGATTACCCACTACTGAAAGAGAAAATCATGTAAAAGGATGTTTTAATCTGCTCTGATTCTTTGCTTTGTCATCTTTAGCTAAGTCTTGCGGATTTGCTCTACCAGCACCTGTTCTAAGCTCCTCTGATATGATGTTGATCGTCTTTCACTCTGATGAAACAGAGACCTTTGGAGGATTCAGAGCCACAATCTCTTTTGTTCATGTAACAGGTAATAGAAATAACTTGGGAGTCTGCTGCTTTGAGGCAGCACACAGGGCACTTCGGTGAATCTGGATGCTTGAAATGATTTTGCTCTGGGAGATTCTTGTCTAAAACTTTTCAGTGAAGGAACTTTGTGAACTTACTGAGGCACTGAATGAGGATCTAGTGAGTGGGTGAAGAGAAATAATGGATTTCCTCTAAATCTCAGAAATTTGTTTTGTATAAGAGCATTTTGCTGCATTTTAAACTGCTTTAACCATGTAAGGATATAATAGCACAGATTCCTACTGTAGGAATCTAACCCTTCTACAGAGATGAAAATAAAGGAAATAAAAGTGGTTTTGTGATTAATATAAAAATATCACTTGAGACACCCTAATAACAGGATTTCTATTTTCGTTTGCTAGATTTAAATAATTTGGATTCAAATGGTGAAGAAGAATTCAAAGATATGACTGCGGAAGAAATAAAGATTACGACAGGTAAATCAATGTGGGTTAAGTTTTCTTCATGGAAATATGGAGTACCTTTTGGACTGTAACTAAAATGCTGTTGTCTCCAAATATCTAATGGATGCGCTCTGAGTTGTCTCTCAAGACCTTTAATTAAGATCTGTTGACGAAATAAAAGGATAAATGGTAACCCTTCTATGTTTTAGCTTTAGAATAGTAGAGCCTAATTTTTCTTGTTTCCTTAGCTTGTAAACTCATTTACAGCAGTGCAATTACATCATTTCAGCTTGTATGTCAGCTTAAACTTACTTGCTTTGGTGAAAATAATTACAAAGAGTGTGGAGTAGTTGAAAATAATGACCAGAATTTTAAAACTTTCCTTTTTAGTTCTAGGACCTTATGGAGAAGAGGTTGACTACATATTCATAGGCCTGAGGCTAAAGCTTTTGAAATAGCATAAGATTGAAAAATCCTGTTTTGTAAGCAGTTGCTTTCTCCTTGTTGAAGCTATCTTTTTGCAAAGATCACCTCCTCATCCTATCTCTAAACATTTGGATCCTTTGCAATGAGGGAATTTGTAGGATTTAGCAAAAAAAGGAGGGTGAAAAAGCCTGAGAAGTTATAGGATAGCTTGTAGATGGGCTGTTCTTTGCTTGTCCAAATCTCATCCTCCAAAGATTTCTTTGAAACGTAAATCCTTTCTGTTTTAGATGATACTTGTGGAGTGCCTTCAAATCAGCCCAGGTTCCTCTTCAGTAGGATAGTTGGAGGTGAAGAAGCTGTACCATACTCATGGCCTTGGCAAGTTAGTGTACAGATTTCAGATGAGCATATCTGTGGAGGAGCAGTTCTTGCCAAAGAATGGATTGTCACAGCTGCTCACTGCTTTAATTCTAAGTAAGTACTGTGGTAGGAACCCTTCCCTGGGAAGGTCTGTGGTTACCCAGAGTACCTCTGCTGCGTGGTGGTTTTGTCCAGGGTGGCTGGCGTGGTTTCGGTTACCACTTAGTTGCAGGCTAGCGTACGATTCTTTTGCTCCATGCATCCACAGTAGGATCACAGTGGCTGCTTGGGCAGTAGCCTACTTCTGTCGGCTTAGTTTTCATTCAGGTTAGTTTTAAAAGCAAATTTTCAAGTTTGCTGCTTCAGAAGAGATTGGCAAGGTATTAAGTCTCCAAATCTCTTGTCAGCTATCTCTTTATTCTTAAGTAACTTTGCTGTTTGGGTCATTTACAGAGCATGACTTTCTGTAAGTAGAATGAACCTATCAAAAAATTCAAAATTTCCTGGAACTGGTGGATTTTGGAAGTCATACAGGAGGCTTTTGTGCTATATGTACAGAGTTAATGCCACTCCTTTATTAAAAAGCTATCAATCTGAATCAGATTACATGGATCTTGTTCTCTCTTTACTGAGAGAAGCCAAAAGGATACTGTGTGACTTTTGGATTCTAAAATAGTCAAATAACATTTTAGAAAGTGTTTCCTTCATTTCTTAGACTGGATGCTACATGACTGTTTCTAGTTCCAAATTAATCACAGGTACATTGCTTTAAAATTCACATGCTTTGGGTCTTGGATCATTAAAACAGTGAAGTGGTGGTGGTGGTGTTGCTGGGTTTTTTGTTTTGTTTTAAGAGGTTCTCCTAGGATTGGTGATACTAGATATTCTGGCCTATCTTCAAATAATCTTGGAATTACTTGAAAATCAGGGGTAGCTTTCCAAAGCCAAAAATGCCCAAGCTTGTTTAGGCACGTACCTTCTCCATTTCTTGGTTACTTTTTCACTTCCCCACAGAACCTGGGATCTGAAATGCCAATGCTGTTTTGCATTTTGGACTTTGACTTCTAAGTTTCTAAATATTAGCTTGCAAAATTTTATCTTGGAAGCATTGTTGTGCTATGTTGAGAGTATCGTTTTGAGAGCCACAGTACAAGGGGATTTTATTGCATGCTGCTGTCGCATCAGAACTCGTATATGTGGCTTAATGATTCTGCACAACTGATTTCATCAGGTAATTACAACAGATTTTCAGGAAGTAAGAGGGCTTAACTAAGAAACCAGAGGATGCAATGAGGTGTTTCTGTTGCATTTCTTTATATTATTTGATGAAAAGTTATGTTTTACAGGTTGTACATTTTTTCATTAAGAAGGTGGGGACTAACACTGTCCCTAAAGGGTGTGGACCATGCAGACCTTGTGTTCTGCACCAGGCACCCTCAGCCCTTAAAAGCTGTTCTTTCTCTCACCTCACTCTGTTTGAGGGATGTTACTGCCCCCATTGTGAGAATGCTTCATGTGATCCTTGAAACCAATGGGAAGATTCCCACAGGTTTCTATGGGAGCATGGGCCTTAGGTGGTTATAAGTGAAGGTTATAAGATTCACAAGTTCCATGAATGCTATTGTATCCCCCCCCCCCCTTTTTTTTTAAGGGAACAATACAGAGACTTATGGACAGTGGTCACAGGACTTCACGATCTTGCAGAGCAAGAATACAGACAGGTACTGTAAGTTTTGCTTAATAATAAAATATAAATCAATCTTACAAACCAGTTTTTAATGTAGATGCAGCTCCCAAATTGTCTCAAATCTCCCCAATGCAGCGAACTGCTGCTGGCCTTAATCTTCATTTGCACAGCAGCTTTTCTGAGACTGCCAATTGTATCAGCACAGAACTGTGCCTTCACCAGTAATGACGCCCAAAGGTCTGTATCCTGGAGGGTGCCTGAGTGAGGAGTATATTGTCTCTAAATTTCCTGGCGACTATTACCAAGACAGAAATAGTTAGGGCACAACTTTCCACTGGGCTCAGACTGGACAAATGTTTTTTCAAGACACTCTTCCTACACTTGCTGGATGGAATTTCCTGCAGATTTTCTGATCCGTGTCCAAGAGGTATATTCTTTACTTGCTAATAAGAGAATTTGGTGATTCCAGCTACTGCTTTTAGATGTTCCGTCCTCTTAAGGCATCGTAAGTATGGCCTGAAAATATATAAAATTCAAGTTCCTTAAAGCCTCAAATTCCCAAGTCATTCTGAAAATGTCGATATCCTTGCTTTCCTAGAAAAGGACAATAAAGCAGTTTATTATACATCCAAGTTTTAATAAGACCACCATGGACTGTGATATTGCCTTACTGCGACTGGCCGAGCCTTTGGAATTCAACCACTACGTACGCCCGGTGTGCCTGCCTGCGAAGGAAGAGGCAGTTCAGCCCTCGAGGGTGTGCGTTGTCACAGGATGGGGTGCACATGCAGGAGGTATGCAGTCTTTGCCATTTTGAGGGTTGAGCTTGTAGCTGTACCTTAAATATTATGCAGTATGTCATAATGTTAATTGTGTCTATACTTTGGTTCCTGGAGAACTGATGTGTTAAGAAGTTTTTGCCTGTATAAGCTGAGATAGACATGCAGGCAAATGAGTGGGTGTAAAGCAATTGGATCGTTTAGACTGAGACCATTTGAAAAGGGGAAGAACAAAGCTTCCTTCTGGAAGCCTTACAGAAGGTTGTGTAAAGCCCTGGAGATGCACAGTGAAAAGTAGTCCTGCTCTGGAGAAAAAAAATGAAGAGATCCAGGAGATATTTTTCATCCTTTGGTTGTGATGGCAAGTGAGGCAGGTATTGTATTTTTAATTCATGCCTTTGCTGGTTTCTAAGATATCTTTTACTCCCAGACAGAGAAAAGGGGAAAAAACTGCATCAGCTTGAGGTCCCCATCCTGGTGCTTGACACATGTCAGAGCTATTATGTAAACCTTCCCAGTAAAGTGACCCAGAGGATGATCTGTGCTGGGTTCCCTCTGGAAGAAGGCAAGGATTCATGCACAGTAAGTTGCACACATCACCTTCGCTTTCAGCCACTTTTCAGCCAGTATGGCCAGATGGGTTCTGAAATGGGGAGTGTTAAAACCTTGGTAACAGCTATTTTCTTCCAAACAGGCTCTATCTGATTCACTGCAATAAAACGCCTTAACAGTAGAATTTTAATTACTTATATTGCATAAAAGGTACATCTCTTGAACAAAAGTTAACTTATTTCTTTCTCTATTTTTAAAAAGCATACAGAGCCAAACACATGAGTAGCTGGGGCCTTTCATAGCTGAAGCGATGTTTTAAAAAAATGAGGAGTGATGTTAGTTTGTAACAAGAGCCCTTTGTCCTTGCATAGGGTGATTCTGGTGGTCCATTAGTTTGTCCTTCAGAAGATGACTCTGGATTTTACACCCTTAATGGAATCACTAGCTGGGGCTTGGGCTGTGGAAAGAAGAGCTACCCAGGAGTATACACCAATGTTGGTGTTTTTGTTGACTGGATCCAGCAGAGTGTTAATACTAGTGGTATGTATGGAAAAAACAGTTAAGTGAATCCTTTTGCTGTTGCTAGATGATTTATCTGAGGCCTTTCCCAGAGAGTTGTTTTTACATTTGGATGTCTAGCACTTCCTGAAATCTTGGCTCTTTAAAATATGCCTAGCTGAGTGCCCAGAAAGGAAGGAATCTAAATCAGCAATCACTTCTGAAAGTCTTATTTCTTCAGGATGTAGCATTGTTCCTCTCTTTACTGCATTTCTCTTCTTGATGAATAGTGCTTTCCCTTACTGCTACTTTAATGCCTCATTTCTCAGGGTTAGGAAGAGGTAGGGAGGAGTGAACTGATACATTATGATAGCCAAGTCCATTTTGACAAGCTTATTTACAGCCTTTGTTTGATGACCTTTGTGAAGTTTACCCTGTTGTTCTTTTCCTTTTTGCAGATCTCCCCGTTTTCATGGTGTAACTGTCAAATCAGCAGTTCTTATGGACAACGTTGTAAAAAACTTCCAAAGTACAAGTACCGTTGAAAGCAAAATTTGGTGAGAGTGTATTAGTTCATGCTTGGTGAACAGATTCCAAAGTAGCTGATACTTATTTCAGTGAAGTTACTGATTTACCTGAATTGAGACTTTGGCCTTACACATGTGTTGTCGGGGCAGATGCCAGTTACTTTCAGTCTTCTGAAAATCTATCTGTATTAAAAGAAAAGGGGGGGAGGATAAACCACCATATGGCATATGTCAAGCGTGTACTTGAACACAGTACAGGAGGGTGTAAAATACTGCAGAGATGAGATTAAATACCCGCTCATGTAAAACAGAATTGACGGGCTAGTCAATTGCCTTTTCATTAAGGTCAACAGGAGTGTTACCTCTGACTCTGAGAGGACCTAGGCAGTGGCAGTAGTAGTGAGGAAGAACACTGGGTAGTGATCAGTGATGTGAATCAATCCAATTGTTGGGAAAAGAGTGTTTTTAGCGTGCCTAAATGATGGTCCTTATGGGCCTGAATTCACTGATTTGAGTATTACAATGCTCTTATTGGCTGAGAAACCTGGCCACTGGTGCCTGTGATAATGGTAACAGCTGCTCTGGCAAGGAAGCTGAATTGCAATGCAGTGTAAAATATTCATTTTCTGGCCTTTTTTTTTTTTTTTTTTTTTTCAAATAAAAGCTACCATATGCAGAGAAGGCATAACAAGACAGAGAGGTAATAACAGAAAAGGCACCTCCAAAACTCCTTAGCCTTTCAAGGTGTAAGGTTAACTCAGCAGTGAACCAGGGTCATTTGCATGACCACCTTCTGGTCTGCCTTTACAGTGGAATTGTCAATCAGCGCAAAGCCCCATATATTGGCTTCTGTATTTTGAAAGAGTTTCATGGCTTGCTGGTAAGATGGAAATTCTCTGATGGGTGTTTTCTAGACATTAAACAATTTCTTTTGAATGTAGGTAATTCTGCATAGTAAGGACTGTGCTAGGTGGAAATAGTGATCTCAACCATCTACACCTTTTCAGTAACTTGTCCACATTCTGGGATATTTAGGGTGTTTCCTTTGTTTGACCTAACCTTTCCCTTGCATCAACTGTGTGCCCACTTTAATTCCATTGGTTGTGATAGGTCTGGTTGACTTAGAATTCAGTTCATTGGAGTAAGTTTTATTTATAATCATGTGAAGTCAGTATTTCACTGAATAGTTTAAAATCAGTTATGTTTATTGATTTTTAGATCTCTTATTCTGGGTTATCAATGGATCCGTTGACTAAGGTCTAAATGACGTCTTGATGACTTATTCAATATTTTAATGTGTTGTGTTGCTGTGTCTGTAGGGAATACGAAAATCACTGAGATCTTTTGCAGATGCTAAATGCTTGTGTTCAGAACTTCAGTAATGATCATCAGAATTCAACAGATGTGTTGACAAAGCAGTAGGTATTAGATTGTCCTCTATCTGCTTTCCCTGCTCTGTTCCAGATTTCTGCATTGAAGAAAAGTTGATATTTTGATTAAAAAGCAACATCAGCTTTTCAAGTTTTTTGAGAAGCTGGATGCATTCATTAAGTAATTAAAACCTTGCCCTAGTATTTCCTATTTTAACAAATAGCTTGCTATTCAAACAGATAAGTGTTTGAAAATACAGGCATTCCAGGCCAAGGGGCTCTGGCACCATGCAAGAACTGACAAATATTCTAATTAAACTATAGATATAATTAAATAGATACTATGCAATCCATGTACTGTAAACTGAGCAAAACTTAAAGGCAAGTAGCAGTTTGTTTAATGCTGAAATGGTTGCTTACACAAAAAATTGTGATGACATGTTCCCATTATCTTTGCAAATGGTGCTGTGCCTGGTCTTAGTGTTTAAAAACTAGATCAGCGTGATAGCACAATAGGTAACAAAAGTTCTTTGACTCAATGGCCTGGAAAATAACTAGAATGGATTAAAATATCTCATTTTGCTTCTGTTAATATTAATGGCAAAAATGATTGGAGATGTATTTCCAGTATATGAGTTTGGGGCCACTAATCCTATTCTTTTGATGGCATTAGTTTAGGACTTCTGATTTATTTAAATATATAATTTCATTCTGCAGCCAGATTTAAAAAACAACAACAACCACCTCTTTGTCTCTACATTTATTCCCAAATGACTATGGTAGGCCTCTTTTGACCAGCTTTTTCTCTCCACTGCAAAGTTTCCGACAAAAACTCACAAAAAAATCTGGAGCATGTGCTTTCTGTGAAACTGTGAAAGCGTTTCATACTGGAGGGACTATGGACAAACTCAGATAAGTTCCAAAGACTAAGTGTAAGGCACAACTGTGTTAAACTACTAATAGGTTGTGTGTGTTCTTTCTTTGATGAGCTTCTTTAAAGAAGCCTTTGGAAAGGGATAGCGGGAAAATTACCTTTACAATTTTTCACTGTGGAAGTTGAATGCTGTCCAGCTGTAGTGGTAGTTGGTATTAGCAGATGCATCAGTTTAACTATGCTAAGAGCAGTTGTGTCTATTCACTTGGGCCTGCTTCTGTTTTGCCTAACAGGAACAAGATGACTTAAAGTATCTGTAAAATTTCTATCTGCATATTAATCTAAAACAAGGATATCACTAGGTGTGTTCAGATTTAAAAAAAAAGGGGGAGGGAAGAGGTGGGGGATGACAAACTTACAGGTGTATCAGTTGTATTAGCCCTATTTAATGCAGTGCATATAGACTAATAAATCGATGTCACTTTAAAAAATCCTTAACAATATTAGCAGTACTATCCTAGGTTATTTATATGTGACTTGATTGCTAAGGTACATACTTTTTGCTTGAGTATATGGTGTAGACTTTTCATATTTCTCCTAGTATGGCTTTACAAGTAGGTTAGTTTTACTTTTATTTGTTGTATCTTTTCAGCCTTCTATAAGCTGCCAGGACCTTTTAATACAATAAGTGGTAATACAAATGTGAAATGTTCTGTGATGCAAATGAAATCTGATTGAAAAATAAAAAAGTACTTCCAAAGGAGTTCATGTAATGGAATTGTATTTTAGTTTTTACAAAATCAAATTTGACTTGATATTATATTTCAAGAACAACAGGAGATCTCTGCTGGAATATGAATGGGCTGGGAGACCTAGATATCTGTTTGCTACTGCCAGAGTTAAACTAGTCTCTATTGTTCAGGCTTGAAAGATTGGCAGATACATCTCTATGCTGCACAAACATGTAGGATGGCACAGGTCCTATTCCATATGCTTTTACAACCTATTGTTTTTGCACGTAATTTATAAGGCTTAGGAAAAACAGAAGGAAAGAATGTGGGAGTAAGAAGCTGACATTAATGAACTGCATTCACACAGCTAATCTATATTCATAACATGACGTTTTGCAAATATAATTATTTTTCAAATCCTTGCACATTTTGCACAAAGATGTAAGGCAGGTACTTGTTCCTTACAATGTATTGCATTACTGTTGTTCACTGTGTAAGAAGGATATTTGGCACATGCCGCAATGGATTATGGATTTGATTTATTTGAGTGGATGCTTGGAAAGTGTTGCTAGAGTAACAGAATTTGTGTGAAAAAAGTACTCATGAAAACACTTTAAAAATATGTGTACATAACTAAAACTTCTTGGACATAATGACCATAACCTTGATTCCCATGTTCACAAAGTCCACACCACCCCACTTAAGTACTTGACAATTGCATGAGATGTTTCTTAACTTTGCAGTCAAAAGGAAGGGGCGGAACTCGTTTACAAAGCAAATCGGGTTCCCTGAGCGCTTAAAATCTGGATATAAATCTTTTTTTGGCATATAATGACAAAATATCATCTTTGTAGTATCGTATGAAGGCTCATTGCATTGTTCACTGGCGCTGCACTTGATGAAATATTTATAATAAAAGTTTATGTATCCAACAAAAAAAAAAAACTTGTTCTGATCTTTAGTTAACAAAAGTCTTCCTGTTTAGCTCTGAAATGGTTGTCCTTCTCTGTACATGTGCATGCTGAGAGTCCAAACACATTGCCAGTGATACACTTTCTAGATAGCATTTACAGGTTTAGTTATTAAAACAGTTTTGTAACTTTTGTTGGAAAGGGGAGATCTTCATCTCAGAAGTGGAGATTATATGTTCATTATTAAATTGGTCTGGGAATAATACAGAAAGGGAAGAAACTGTTGCCTGAAATTTGAATTCTGGCTATATAGCCTGACAAAAGATGTTTAAAAACGCTATTCATCTCGGACTTCATGGCATTATCTGTGTGAATTCACTTGTTTCATAATTCCTTACTTTTCATAATTCCTTACTTTCCTCCTTTTCTTCATAGGACAGCAAAGCTACTTACTCCATCATGCATCGTACTGCTCCTAGTTGCTTGTGCTCTTGTGACCTCTCCAGTGAAGCCAGAGGAGCAATAGCAGAGCAGTGTCGTATCTCTCCTTAGATGGACTCTGTCTGGAAGTATGTACGACAGGTATTTCGTGGCTCCCTCTCCTCCTAGAGTGGGCCTGCATGAAAGGATCTGACCAGCGTAGTATTTAGATGGTACTACAGATCTACATTCTCATGTGGTCTCCCCAATTTTCTTCTCTTTTCACCTCGCCTTTTTTCCCTCTGTATCTTGTGAGGACAAGTGGCACAAGGGCAATTATTTTTTCAGATTCAGGAGTCACTTTCCTGTCATGTATTGGATGCACAGCAAACCTTTTATTTCTTCAGTTAAAGTGAATGGACTTGGTTCTTTGCACATGTTCAACAGGCTGAATTTAGTAATAACACCAGAGGAACTGTGGATGTCATGTCTATGTAAAATAAGTTGCAAGAAAAATGAATTGGGTTTGGTATTTTGAAGAAAAAATGAGTTTTATATAGAACAACATCTTGCCTTTGACTCAAGAGAAAGGAAAATAATAAGCAAAAGTTGAAGACTAATACTGTCCAGAGAAACAGTATTAAGAATAGTTAAAATAGAAAATGAAAAATACCCCTAAATTGTTCCCAGGTTCTACAAGATCCTTTACTTGCCTTTTTCGTACTGAAGAACTGAGTTTTGTTCTTGAGAGAAGATTAATGCTTCTTATGAAAAGTGCCACTGTTAATTGGCCAGCTGCGCAATTATTTGTCATAAGTACCTGAACACCTGCTTTAAAATTAGTGTAAAGACAGTCTTTAAAATTACAAAAATGCTGTGGATTTCAGGATAAATTCCAAGAAATAAGAATGTTTCTTGTCTCTGTTGTTTTTGTTCTTACTTTCCTTAGTTCTTTTGTCACATGGATGTATGGTAGCGTCACTGAGGAAAGTTGCTGCCAGCTGACCATTACCTTATTGTAAGAAAATATGAGGTCATAGCACCTCAGTGGGAGAACCTAGTACGTTTAATCATGGAAAATGGTTTGGCCAGGCCTGGAGTTCCTGGGCTCAGTTTTGATATTCTAAAGATAGTGGCTACCTGTGATGCTAAGTTAAGGAGTTAATTTACTTCAACAGAGATGTAACACCCTGCTTTGAGCCTCTCTGTTTTCAGCAGCCTGCCTAATAGAGGACTGAATTATATGTTGATATCGATTCTCTTGCTTTTGAAGTCAGGTGAGGAAAACCAGTGGTAACAAAGGAAGGATTAAAGAAGAACAGTGTTTGTAAATCTTCTGGCCTTCCATAATTAGTAATATAGGAAACTGAATGCATTTTTCTTTCAATTTTTTTAGAAGTCGCAATACAAGCATTCCAAAAATTAATACATCATATGTATTATTTTATTTCCTTCTTGTACCACTGTCTACAGCTTGGCACACTGTGAAGTTATTCCTGGCATTCCTTCCTCATCGGTTTTGATCATTTTGTGGGTTTTTTTTTCCTCCTTACAAAGATGTCTATCTGCTGTGGGCATGTTTTTATTTTAGATAAACTAATCTGAACCTAATGGCACAGACTTGGACTTCAGAGACTTGTATTTTCTCTTAACTAACTTTTCTGTGTGTCACCAGTTCTGTGCTCCTGTTCTGCGCTCAGTAGATTGAATAATGATACTTGTCTCATGTTTTTTAAGGGGGAAAGGTGAAGTCCACAGATACCAAATGTTATGTTAGTGCTGCTTGTCACTATGTAAAAATTTTTCCTAGTGGATGGAGAAGAAAATAGGAAATAATTTCTGTTTCCCCCCACCATGCAAACTGAAGCTGAGCTTTCTTGCCTCCTTTCCCTGGTTCCTTTCCCTGTTAATTGGCTGTTTGGCAGTATTTGGCAACATGGACTGTGGATTGCACTGCAACATGCAATCTGCAAAGAGTATAGCAAATGCAAAGCCAGGCAGGAGCGCTGTCTCTGCCCGGCTGCCCCACTATTGTAATGCAGTCTTTGGTTTTAATCTTGGTGCAGGCTTAATGGTCTTTCATTAGGATTTGCAGCATTGAGGGAGGATGTTTGTGCATGAAAACGAGTTTTATCTGACTGTACCTGTGGCATGAATGAAAGATACCATCTTTACTTGTGAACTTTGTATTGTTTGATTATCAGGTTGCATGCTCCTTTGCCTGAAGGACTTCAACTTTGTTCTTTTGCAGGACACTGGCAAACTGGCAGACTGTGGCAAACTGGGACTGGACCACATCTCCTGCATCACTTGTTTTCTGCTGCTGAACGTGAAGGCGATGGGAATTGAGGTGGGAGAGTGCCGGGGAGGACCGCAGCCATGAGTGTGCCTACACGGCAGAGCTGGATTTTGCGGCTTTTTCTGTCCCCGGTTGTGCGCCCAGTGGGGCCGGCTGCTCGCAGGGCTGAGCTGGGAAAGCGCAGGCGGGCGCGGCCA